ATTACGACTGAGCATTACCGAATAAAGAATTGTCGGTGAAAGGTTATAAAAATAGCATTTTATTCATCAATTAACCAGTTGATTAAATGAATCATCGTATATCTACGTTCAAAGGTATCGTTTTGGGGTCGAATAAATCCTGAGCCACGCCAAAATTAGGCCCCTTAAAAATTAGGGGATATTAATTCCAGTTTTCCCAGGCCCTTAACATTGAATTCACTCCCCCAGCACACTGAATGGCCCTTGACGATCAAAGTAATCAATCTATTTTTTGAGGTAGAAGCAACCTTAATCATTCTTTTTTTCAGCGTTTCGTCTCCTTTTTTTTATCCAAGCATGAAAAAGCCAGCTTGACTTTTGCAAGTTTTGGTCCTCTTGCTTTCTATTGATCTTGGTCAAAAACAATTTTTTATGTCGTATTACCGACCCACTTTTTGTAAGACTATGCCACTAGCTTGTTTGATTTTCCATTAACACAATTATGTAGGATTTCATGGATATGGTCTACTAAATCTTTATGGCACTTTCTCTTTAACGTAGCCTAATAGTTGTACATTCTGAAGACTACAAGTTATAGATCGGAATTTAAGAAAATCAGTGACTAGTATACGAGCGTGCAAATCGATCAAAAAAACTACACAGTTAAGAAAGTGACGAATATACTGTCACATGAAATTAAAAACTATCATTTGTTTCCTCAAATTCTTCAACCGAAGCCTCCACGGGAATATGATCACTGTGGATGCCATTCGAAACACCCAAATCCCCGTCTATATCGGACCACTTGTTCATCTCATTAAAGATTCGCTCCTTTGCACTGTTGCTGAGTTTGAAAAGAGATCGGAGCTTAGCTCTCTTGTCCACAGGCTCCTCAGTAATGTTGTCCTCAGCCACAGAGCTACCAACCTCATCGTCTAGGTACCAGCAGCCAAGCTTCAGGTCAAAGACTCGCTCCACAAAATCTGCGTATAACTCTAAGCAGCCACCAAAATTGCCCTCTTCGTAGGATACGTTGTAGATTTTAACACAGAAATCGGCCACGCCTATGACCCCACGGCACAAAGGAGGGGGGTTTCTTCCTGCGTACAAAGAAAAGAAAGTATTTTTCCTTTTCATGTTCAGTCAATTCTGTCTAGAGAATCAAAGACGGAGAGTGAAGAATGGCAGGGGGCATCTCATCCTCGGAGACCCATGGTGAAAGTTTACTATAAGATCGAGAAATTATTCTTTCTAGCCAATCGGAAGCAGGCAATTCAAACGCTTCTGGAACTGGTTCGGTAAGAGTAAGTGCCTAGAAGCTTTTCTCGATTTTACAATAAAATTTCATCACGAACATTCCATCGTCTCAACTACAGTAAAAACCCGCTATACGAACCTAGGTTTTTCCAAGTTAGCCTAAACATGCAGGTTCTTATATAAATGGTATTTAGTGTAAAATTAGGCTAACTAGGTTCTTAATTAGGTTCTTAACTTTTGTTCAAGAAATAAAGCTGAATTTTTAAATGATCTGGTGTTTAATGTCCAAAAACAGTATTCTTGGAGGCTTCGTTAAGCAAAATACTATACTATTTTAATCTGATTCTGTTACAATCAAACCTATGGTAAAGTTTTATGTAACCATGCTATAGTGTTTAGAGTATTATTGCATACAGACTGTGTTATATATATATATATATATATATATACATATTTTTTTTTGAGAAAATTTCTTAATTCTATATATATATATATATTTTTTGAAAATAAGAACCTGTTTTAGGATTTTAGCCTAAAATGGTTCTTATGTGAAGGGTGCTTAAAAATGAAATTTTAGCCTAACAGGTTCTTAAATGTTAGGTTCTTATACGCGGGTTTTTACTGTAGCTGCCCCCGTCCATCTATGAAGAGTTAGGAAAAAATACTGAAAACTGCAGGGACCAGCTCTAGGTGTCCGTTTTACAGGGGAGTCCATCGTATAGAAAATCCAAGAAGGTGACCGAAGAATGGAGGAGACCGACTCTACATGTACAAAATTTCTCAGGAAAATCCCCGGATTTGCCGCTAATTCTCGAGAATTTTAGACGGGGTTTGTCGAGAAAGAAGTTGATTGCTTTGTACCCTATTTTAAGCAAATTTGCAAAGATCCTGGGCGAATAACTTTCTGTTTTCAATGCATTTATCATTTTATATTATCCATAATAAATGACGTACTGTGAAATTCAAAAAGCCGTGGACAACTAACATATTGTTTGTGGAATGTTATCGAGTTGCGTGAAAAAGGCCACTAGAAGAAAAATCTCAACAGCGAGGACCAAAGGGGATTAGTTTGTGGTTCTGAGGTCTGCTTGTGTCCCGAACACAAGCAGACAGTTTTTATTAGTCAATTAACCTGCAAAGCAACAAACTTTCTTAAGAAGCAAGGAAATGCTTGTTACTTGCTACGCAGGCTGAATTAGTCATACACTATCAATATTAATACTACTGACACTGAAACTGAGGATTTTTTTCATGTCACGCCCTCTCAGCTATCTTACCTAACTTTTCCACGAGTGTACTACTTCTCTCCTTCCCTAATGTTGAGATTCGCGTATATTTGCAAATGGGTGTTACGTGAATCAACATTGGGGTGGGGGCGTAACTGTGACAAGTGTTTCAACAAATGAGACGAGTACTGTAACCTAAGTAATTAGGCTTTCCTAGTGGGAAAGGGGAGAAGAAGCGAAAGGGGGAAGAAAGCAGAAGGGGAGAAAAAGAGTTAAGCCCTTCTCCTCTCTCTTCTTCTCTCCATTACCTTTTCAAATCTCTCCTCCACTAAACCATGGGAAAGGGTTGACTTATTATTAACCTGTTTATTGAGGATCTTCAGGGAAAATTTTAAAAAGCTCATCTTACCAGACAGCGTTTCGTTGATATACACTTCACCATTAACCATCAGAGTAAACCGAATTCCCTGAAAAAAGTAAACGCACAGAAATTGATGACAAAGGCGCTGACAACTCAGTTGATGTACATTACTGAACAAAAATTAAAATCCTAGGTTAAGGGGGTAAACAAAAGCAAAATTATTGCAGCTAGAGAACGAATCATAAAGTGATAAAATATAAGAAAGATGGCAATAAATATACACATTAAAATACTCATTCTCTCTGCAGTGTCTATTGTGTAAATGAAGTTCACGCCGGTTTCACTTTTAGGGGGATTCAACAAGCCCTTGTCCGTGCCATCAGTTTTTAAGAATGAATTTTTTTCTTAGACAGAAACGTGGATCTACATTGTCCTCTTTCCAATAGGTGTCGAAATGTTGAAATTTACAACCCTAGTCACTAAATATTCCCGAAACAGAGGAAATTAAGTTATAGTTATTTTCAATCTTTTTTCAATTGACAGGACTCAAGCACAATCGTACGTGAATGTCCTTTTACACGGGATCTTTTAATCATTTATTGATTCGGCACTTTTCCTTTGGTGCCAGAGGAACCCCTGACATGCATGCAGATGCAGAACTTAGCGACCTTATCTGCAAAATTGTTTTGTTTTTTTTGTTTCGTTGTTAGTTTCGCTCTTAAGGGTAGTAGTATTGTCCAAAGTAGCTTTGACATTTGATTTAATCTCAGAGTGTGTCCATTCATGAACAAGATTAAAAAAAGTGCAGCAACTGTCCCCATAATAGGGTTTGTTCTTGAAAAGGCTTAAAACGATAACTTCCCTAACAACTTGTCCCTAGCAACATGTCCGGCCTTGCATACCATAAAAACGCGCCATAGTGATAGGCCGCCTTTATTGCGACGAGAAAGGAGCCTCGAACCTGTAAAATCCTTAGCTACAATGCCGGACAAAACTACTTGAGAAAATTTTCCCCATCATGTCCACTTTCCTACGCAACAAAACTATTTCCAAAAGGACGCCTTTGCGGAAAGAAAACCCCTTCCCCCAATTCAATGTTGCTTCCCACAAACGCCCAGGGATCAGGCTTTCTTTTGAATACACAACAACATTGCTTTCAGGGAAAGGGGGAGAGGGAAAAACCGGTCCAGCTACGATGTTTAGAAAAATACTGTCCAAGTATACAATTTTCTCAACAGTTTTGTCCAAGATTGTAGTACGCGAAGCAGTATAAATCAGGAGACTTTACTTTAATCGAGGTCGTGGGACAAATTTTCTGTTCGCTAGTTGAAAAGAATGATAGCGCTTGTAGATTGTATCAATGCTGTCTTTCTTACTCTACAAAGTTCCTTTGGTAACTTATTTTGCGCAATCAAGGTTTATAAATAAACTGAAATTTGTTTTTAGTATCAACTTTTTGGTTTTCTTTGTCTTGTTATTATACTCCCTTTGTGAGAGTTTAAAGTTAATACCTCAATACCATATACATTGTGAAGGCAAGCCGACCTAACCGCATGAATTCACCTCATGTTTCCGACGTTATTTTGAGTGGACTTAAACTTTATAAGCAACTATTAAAAATTCTTATTCACCCCAATTGTTTGGACGAGAAACCAAGTATTCAAATATTGTTTTCTTTCTGGACAAATCAGGGGTAATGCTCCTTTGTTTTGACAGATATTACTTCCGATATGTTATCAAGGGATGCAGTTATGCGGAAAAAACTGAACTGAATTAAACAGACAACATGTACGTGTTGGACCATTTACATATTTTAGCTCTTTAGACTACATTGGGCATTAAGTTCTCAAAAGATTAGTTTTCAGTTTCAATTGTAAAAATATATATAGTTTGAAATCTTTAAAATTCTACCTATAAATTCACCAAAATGTTCTAAACATTGCGGATTCGGAGTTAAGAAGTCCGCCTTTAATTCGCTCCAATTGTTTTTTGCTCCCTCAAGGGCGAACAAAGCAACATAAGTACATAAAAACACAAAGCCAAAAAAGGTGGAATTGTTATTGACTTCGTCCGAGTTTGTGCCGCCAAACAACAAACTCGTTATGAAGTCATGCTCTTTCATTCTGACGGTCCAACTCGCCTTTGCTGTGGTAAACTGTATACCCTCGGAAGAATATGTTAGGCAATTTTTTCAGTCTAGACACAGGAAATTTCTGGGCGGTACGACCAGTTTTGGGTTTGCACAGGATTCCGTCCCTGTGGAGCACGACGAGTCTACAAAATGCTTGTCCATTTGTGAACAGGAGTGCGATAAGTTGGATGTACCTGAGTATTTAACGGTGAGCGAGGTTTCCTAATTTTAGCTAATTTTAATATAGCTTGTTACTGTTAATGCCATCAATAGTAAGGCGAGGGAGGTGTTTAAAGAGGGAAGAAAATTTAATGAGAGCACTATTAACGAGGTTAATCAAGCGTTATGAGAGCGTTAATTTTCACGGACGGTTAAACTTTTATAAATTTGTGAGCAAATATGAACTTGTATAAACAAGTCGTCGTTAGGCCTACATTATCAAAAACCAATAGGCGCCCCTTGGAATAAGCACCCTTCTTGACACATGAAATAAATTAAACTTATAGTGCCCCAAAACTGCATTATTTTACGATGTTCAAAATCTCTGTGGAATTATGATAATCAGAAGCCTTGTCCTTTTTTCTTCATTTTTTAACAGAAAAACGCCAGCTTTTTTCAATTTCAACGCAAGCCAGCCGACTGTGTTTTCGCATCTACGGTTGTGTTCAACAGAAATGACAAATGCACTTGGCTTTGCTTGTATTTTTTCGACTGCTGCCGTGACTGCAATGCTAAACATTACAAGTGCAGACAGAAATTCCCAGGAGACGATGCAGCCCCGGAGTGCTATCGAGATCACTACGGCTGCATGCATAGATGTCTGCTTGAACACAATCCTCCCGAGAACGTCCAATCTGCGTAGCTACTAGCATTGATGGAGAGGAGTGCCTCGCCGATATATAATTTTGCGTCGTAAGCATTTCAATACTGAATGAGCTTTGGACTTGTTGACCTTTTAGTAATCATTTTTTAATGCTTTGAAATAAATAATTCTACAAAAGTCCGTCTTGTCAATGTCATGTGTTACATCTTTCTCTGGGACCTATATTGGCAACGCTGATTTGTAGTATCTCATCCGAGTATCTATCGTCTTTCTGTTTAGAAACGAAACACACCAAATAAAAAGCGGATCTGTTGCTTGTACATCCGTTCGTATTTCCGGCCAGATGGATTACTCAGTCCAAAGTCTCTCTGGAAAGCTACCCACCTACCCGTCCCTTAACCCATTTAAAATACAAAATAATAATTAATCTTCTCTTTTGTGCACACCCCCCGTTCCACCCTTCGCCTCCTACTTACATCTACAATTCGTTCTAGCAGTTTAAGATTTGATTTAAGCGACGTTTTCTGCACCCAAGATAAAGAAGTAATAGGATTTGGGAGGAGTAACCGCATCTAAACGAAATACTGTATTCCTTTATTGCGCGATAGCAATTCAACGGCAGTAAAAAAGGTTCATCGACTATGTCGAGATCCATTTACGCTAATTTAGGCTTACCTGCCGAATGAGCCTCTTGGATGCGACTTGCAGTGGCTAAACCGGCGCAAAAAGCAACGAAAAGTGGCAGAAACATCCTGGAAAATTTTTCAAATAATCCTCGCAGCCTTAGCACGTAGCACGACAGCAAACCACACGCAATCACCTGCGCGAGTACAAATTAAACTTAAAATAAGCTTTTTCATGTGACCTTGCCAATGTTATTAGATTACATCTATTGACTCCAACTGTTATTTTAATAAGAGGCGCACATCCGCACAAATAGCGGTCGGTCAAGGTTTTTAACACACTTAACGGTCGAAACTTAATACATACATCTACATTCCAAGACTCTTAAAATCCTGAATCCTTAAACCCAGTTCGTTTCATCTACTCGTAGAAACAAGTTTAAAGGTGGGAGTATTATGGGTATTCACGTCGGTCAAGAAAAGCATGATAGGAAAAAGGGAGGGAGGGAGAGTCCCGTTATTTCCCACTCCCAGGGGTCTCTCCTCAAACCCCTACTTTTCTTCCTAAGCCCTCCTCTGCTCAATCTCTTTCGACGCCTGCCATGCCACGCATGCTAAATTACGACTGAGCATTACCGAATAAAGAATTGTCGGTGAAAGGTTATAAAAATAGCATTTTATTCATCAATTAACCAGTTGATTGAATGAATCATCGTATATCTACGTTCAAAGGTATCGTTTTGGGGTCGAATAAATCCTGAGCCACGCCAAAATTAGGCCCCTTAAAAATTAGGGGATATTAATTCCAGTTTTCCAAGGCCCTTAACATTGAATTCACTCCCCCAGCACACTGAATGGCCCTTGACGATCAAAGTAATCAATCTATTTTTTGAGGTAGAAGCAACCTTAATCATTCTTTTTTTCAGCGTTTCGTCTCCTTTTTTTTATCCAAGCATGAAAAAGCCAGCTTGACTTTTGCAAGTTTTGGTCCTCTTGCTTTCTATTGATCTTGGTCAAAAACAATTTTTTATGTCGTATTACCGACCCACTTTTTGTAAGACTATGCCACTAGCTTGTTTGATTTTCCATTAACACAATTATGTAGGATTTCATGGATATGGTCTACTAAATCTTTATGGCACTTTCTCTTTAACGTAGCCTAATAGTTGTACATTCTGAAGACTACAAGTTATAGATCGGAATTTAAGAAAATCAGTGACTAGTATACGAGCGTGCAAATCGATCAAAAAACTACACAGTTAAGAAAGTGACGAATATACTGTCACATGAAATTAAAAACTATCATTTGTTTCCTCAAATTCTTCAACCGAAGCCTCCACGGGAAGACGATCACTGTGGATGCCATTCGAAACACCCAAATCCCCGTCTATGTCGGACCACTTGTTCATCTCATTAAAGATTCGCTCCTTTGCACTGTTGCTGAGTTTGAAAAGAGATCGGAGCTTAGCTCTCTTGTCCACAGGCTCCTCAGTAATGTTGTCCTCAGCCACAGAGCTACCAACCTCATCGTCTAGGTACCAGCAGCCAAGCTTCAGGTCAAAGACTCGCTCCACAAAATCTGCGTATAACTCTAAGCAGCCACCAAAATTGCCCTCTTCGTAGGATATGTTGTAGATTTTAACACAGAAATCGGCCACGCCTATGACCCCACGGCATAAAGGAGGGGGGTTTCTTCCTGCGTACAAAGAAAAGAAAGTATTTTTCCTTTTCATGTTCAGTCAATTCTCTCTAGAGAATCAAAGACGGAGAGTGAAGAATGGCAGGGGCCATCTCATCCTCGGAGACCCATGGTGAAAGTTTACTATAAGATCGAGAAATCATTTTTTTTGGCCAACCGGAAGCAGGCAATTCAAACGCTTCTGGAACTGGTTCGGTAAGAGTAAGTGCCCAGAAGCTTTTCTGGATCTTACAATAAAATTTCACCACGAACATTCTATCGTCTCAACTAGCTGCCCCTGTCCATCTATAAAGAGTTAGGAGAAAATACTGAAAACTGCAGGGACCAGCTCTAGGTGTCCGTTTTACAGGGGAGTCCATCGTATAGAAAATCCAAGAAGGTGACTGAAGAATGGAGGAGACCGACTCTACATGTACAAAATTTCTCAGGAAAATCCCCGGATTTGCCGCTAATTCTCGAGAATTTCAGACGGGGTTTGTCGAGAAAGGAGTTGATTGCTTTGTACCGTAATTTAAGCAAATTTGCAAAGATCCTGGGCGAATAACTTTCTGTTTTCAATGCATTGATCATTTAATATTGTCCATAATAAATGACGTACTGTGAAATTCAAAAAGCCGTGAACAACTAACATATTGTTTGTGGAATGTTATCGAGTTGCGTGAAAAGGGCCACTAGAAGAAAAATCTCAACAGCGAGGACCAAAGGGAATTAGTTTGTGGTTCTGAGGTCTGCTTGTGTTCCGAACACAAGTTGTTATTAGTCAATTAACCTGCAAAGCAACAAACTTTTTTATAAGGCAAGGAAATGCTTGCTACTTGCTTCGCAGGCTGAATTAGTCATGCACTATCAATATTAATACTACTGACACTGAAACTGAGTTTTTTTTTCATGTCACGCCCTCTCAGCTACTTACCTAACTTTTCCACGAGTGTACTACTACTCTCCTTCCCTAATGTTGAGATTCGGGTATATTTGTAAATGGGTGTTACGTGAATCAACATTGGGGAGGGCGTAACCGTGACAAGTGTTTCAATAAATGAGACAAGTACTGTAACCTAAGTAATTAGGCTTTCCTAGTGGGAAAGGGGAGAAGAAGCGAAAGGGGGAAGAAAGCAGAAGGGGAGAAAAAGAGTAAAGCCCTTCTCCTCTCTTATAGTTCTTCTCTCCATCGCCTTTTCATATTTTTCCTCCACTAAACCGTTGGAAAGGGTTCACTTGTTATTGGCCTGTCTATTGAGGATCTTCGAGCGAAAATTTAAAAAAGCTAATCTCACCAGACAGCGTTTTGTTGATATACACTTCACCATTAACCATCAGAGTAAACCGAATTCCCTGAAAAAAGTAAAACGTACAGAAATTGATGACAACTATTAAAAATTCTTATTCACCCCAACTGTTTGGACGAGAACCAAGTATTCAAATATTGTTTTCGTTCTGGACAAATCAGGCGTAATGCTCCTACGTTTTGACAGATATTACTTTCAATATGTTATCAAGGGATGCAGTTATGCGGAAAAAACTGAACTGAATTAAACAGACAACATGTACGTGTTGGACCATTTACAAATTTTAGCTCTTTAGACTGCATTGGGCATTATGTTCTCAAAAGATGGGTTTTCAGTTTTAATTGCAAAAATATATATAGTTTGAAATCTTTAAAATTCTACCTATAAATTCACCAAAATGTTCTAAACATTGCGGATTCGGAGTTAAGAAGTCCGCCTTTAATTCGCTCCAATTGTTTGTTGCTCCCTCAAGGGCGAACAAAGCAATATAAGTACATAAAAACACAATGCCAAAAAAGTGGAATTGTTATTGACTTCGTCCGAGTTTATGCCGCCAAACAACAAACTCGCTATGAAGTCATGCTCTTTCATTCTGACAGTCCCACTTGCCATTGCTGTGGTAAATTCCATAACCTCGGAAGAATATGTTCGGCGATTCTTTCAACCTGGACACAGGAAATTTCTGGGCGGTACGACCAGTTTTGGGTTCGCACAGGATTCCGTCCCTGTGGAGCACGACGAGTCTACAAAATGCTTGTCCATTTGTGAACAAGAGTGCGATAAGTTGGATGTACCTGAGTATTTAACGGTGAGCGCGGTTTCTTAATTTTAATATAGCTTGTTACTGTTAATGCCATCAATAGTAAGGCGAGGGAGGTGTTTAAAGAGGGAAGCAAATTTAATGAGAGCACTATTAACGAGGTTAATTTAGCGTTATGAGAGCGTTAATTTTTACGGGCAGTTAAACTTTTATAAATTTGTGGGGAAATATGAACTTGTTTTACTTTCTTGTCATCTTTAGGCCTACATCATCAAAAACCAATAAGCGCCCCTTGGAATAAGCACCCTTCTTGACACATGAACTCAATTAAACTCATAGTGCCCCTAAACTGCATTATTTTACGATGTTCAAAATCTCTGTGGAATTATGATAATTTAAGCCTTGTCTTTTTTTCTTCATTTTCAACAGAAAAACGCCAGCTTTTTTCAATTTCAACGCAAGCCAGCCGACTGTGTTTTAGCATCTACGGTTGTGTTCAACAGAAATGACAAATACACTTGGCTTTGCTTGTATTTTTTCGACTGCTGCCGAGACTGCAATGCTAAACATTACAAGTGCAGACAAAAATTCCCAGGAGACGATACAGCCCCGGAGTGCTATCGAGATCACTACGGCTGCATGCATAGATGTCTGCTTGAACACAATCCTCCCGAGAACGTCCAATCTGCGTAGCTACTAGCATTGATGGAGAGGAGTGCCTCGCCGATATATAATATAAACTACAAATTGCACTCAACCTATTTCGGATTACACGTACGTCAATTTTCATCGGCTCTGCACTTTTAAGGTCACAAAGACATGAAGTCTAGTACGTGGAGTTAGTGAACATAATTCCCTCTTGCAACCTGGAAACCTCTTAAGCAGCACTTCGCAGTTGTACAGAGCTTTATATTTTCCAGTTTATTACAGCTGAATATTTCGGAGTTTCAGTATTTAAATGAACAAACGTGTAAAAAAGCCATTGTCAGTGATAAGATGCATCCAACTACAAAGGAACCTCTATTTGAAGTAGAACAAAAGATCTTAAATTTACGGTTGATTTTTTGTTTGAAATCTAAAACTTGGAAATCTATTTACTAGTTACTTCCAGTTTTGAAAAACCTGTCGGAATGAAACTGTCCGCTATAAGGATCTTGAAACACGCAGGTGAAACGAATTTTGTACAACTGCATTGAAAAGTTTTTAAATATAATTAAATTAGTATCTTTAATTGTCCTTACAACAACATTTAACTAATTCAATAGTTAGACGTTAACTCTTTGTCGTCAGTCTATTAGGGAAAAACCGCATTTTGGACCAAAACCTTCTTTTTGAACCGTTTTTCGGCTAGTTAGCACGGGAATAACTAGAAAGGAGGTTTCCAGCACTGAGGTCTTAAATTTCTGCTAATTATATGTAATTAAGCATTCTCGTTCCCAGAGCCCGTTGTTTCTTGGTCACGTGGTTCGTTACAACTTAAACCGAGTGGCTCTGAGGACGTGAATGGGTAATTAAGCAGCTTTTTTTTTGTTTTCGCGCATGCGCATAAGCCATGAAGCCAGAAGTGTTAACGAAAAGTTTACTCGGTACAGTTTCCTCCTCGCTTTTTCAGTGGCGAATTACCACTAGAGTACCACTGCTTTTCCCAGTAGAACTTAAGAGGCGTCTATGATTCAAACAAATTTTTAACACAATGGCCGGACTCACCAGTTCTGCTTCAATGTAGGTCAGGTTTGCACAGACTGAAAAATAATCCCGAGCAGGGATAGGCTTAGACTTTACTGGTTAACATAATTACATAAAGTTATTACTTAAAAGCTAAAACTTAGGCAAATAGAAAATTGTCAATAATTTTATACATTGAATAGCGTATGGAACTGTTTAAAACTTTGTGTATAACATTTTGCATCAATGTTACAATCTACTCGTCGATCGCTTACGGGAAATGGTCGCAGTGAGAGAGTTGACTATATTGGGAAGTGATGATTGGGATTTAGTGCACTAAACCATCATGGCCAACCACTCTGGCACGGAGTTCGATGTGTGAACGCCTTGTTTCAGTTCTGTGGCACTGCTGTTCGTACCGTGCCAGTTGGCTTTTCATGTCGGCACCAAAAACTAACCGGTACTGCTGGTTTTTACGTGACGTACGTCACGGCGGCAATCTTGGTGGTCAAGAAAAAAATCATTTCTCTCCTCTGGGAACTAAACTCTATTTTCATGTAAATTCTTCGAGAAAAACTTCTATTGTATTGACCCCCAACATGACCGCCTTGTAACAAATATCTATAGACACCTATTTACAAAGCATTTCTTAAACCTCTCAGTCTCAACACATGGGTCCTGATAAGGATGCGACCTACTGCGTAGAGCCCTGTTCTTAAAAGGGGTGGGGCGGGGGGGGGAAGATCTTGCTGGGGATGCGAGGGAGTACCCAAAATACTTTTCAGAACCTCAAATCCCTGTCTTTTATAATCTGTTTGGTCGATGTTTCATGTAGTCTCCTTCGCAGCCGTTATTAGAGTCGTGACGAGTGACGACCCTAATAACGGCTGCGAAGGAGACTATGTTTCATGTTGAATATACCCAAATCGAAAGGTCCTTCTCAATAGCCTATCAATCCGACCAAGGTATTTGGTATAAGCCACAACACCCCAAACCCTGATACAGTAAGTGAAAAGTGACATAATGAGGCAATTAACTGAGGTATTCAAGGTCAGATACACCATAACCATTACTTTTACACACTCTTTGCGATAATTGGTGAACAGTAATACCTGTATAGTTAGCTTCAAGATCCACGCAGCAGCCGCATTGTGGGAGATTATCCTCAGTGCATCCACAGTATTTGGCGTTGTCAAAATTAGCTACAGATAAGAGATGCACAAAACAGTCAAGTGTTCCTGAACTGCTCTTATTTTCTCAGAAAATCCCTATAATATCAGCAAATCTCTTCAATAAGGGCGAAAGTCATCAACATTTTTACTTGCTCTTGTTTTTATCAAAGCTGTTAATCAGCGCTAATTCCATCTCAGATAAGCCCTACTTTCAAGGAAGAAAGTCCTCAAGCATCTAACATTTTCTACCATCTTAATACAGTCGAACCCCGCTTTAAGGGCATCCGCTTAAAACGGATCCCATGTTATTACGGACAGTTTTCTTTGTCCGTGGGGAAAGAAAGCCCTTACAGAATTTCTTTAGTTGAACCCACTTAATACTGACACCCGTTAATGCGGAAAACGGACACTTGTTTCTTGCCCAATCAACAGATTCTCAAAGAAAGTCAGTCTTGCTGATGCGGACACTTTTTTGCTATAACAGACCTTTCCTTCTTCATCATGATAAAAAAAAGACCTTCAATTGACAGTATGTCGATGTTCAGAGTGCTACAGTTCATCGGATTGGATGCTTTGAAGGCGTCAATTTCAGACTATTTTGGCATCAATCAGCTACAATGTACGTACGGAATGCAGAGAACGATTTTGATTAAGTAACGTATAGATTAGAGATTTTTTAGTGTTTCCTTGGATTTATTCCCCGGAATGATGGCTTTGTGATAGCCTGCGAACCGCAGACGTATTTCCGGTAGGCATGGGTCGCACTTGGGAAAAGTTTTCATCTTTGCCGGCTAAAAAACCACAAAAATTCGAAACCGCAACCGGAAAAGAAAACTTTTAGTCCAACCGAAGAGGGTCGCATTAGTGGGAGTTAATAGTTTTTGCTTGACACATTGAGAACTTAAGAACGCCAGATACCAGAAAACATTTTTCTCTTCTTCGTCCGAACCTTTGTCGAAGGATCTTTTTCCTCCATTCCCAGTTTCAGGAGGATGGGACAGATAAAGAAGACCAGAAAGTGCTTGGATGCGAATAGTGCATTTGGCTTGGAGAATAACAAACCTGTGAAGTGTTTGCTTGTGTAGACGGGAACTGGTTCGCCTTCAATAGAGCTAGTTCCCGTAAAAATCTTAAAATAGCGAAGGTTTATAAGCGAGTGAAGTCCCTGCCTGTAGAGAGTTTTCGAAAAAAACTTTAAATGGCGAAGGATAGCCGAGTAGAATACCTCTTCGCGAAGGTCTGAAAATTCGACCGCGTTTATTTTAAATTGATCGTGTTTCAAATGGATCACGTTCATGACAAGGCGCTAACAGTTACCGCTGTGATTCCTATTGTTTAGCTCGAGTTTTCCAAAATCTGCCTGCCCCACCCAAGCACTACGGCGTCTTTGATGTTTTTGCCGATTTTCAAAGTTTTCTCTAACTTGAAAACTCGGGGTCGCACTTAGCAATGTCCACCGATGACAGATTTCTACCGCAAGGTAAACAAATTCTCCCAAAAATTTGCCAAGTGCGACCCATGCCTAAAGCCGAAAAAACCGGATGCTCTCGCAGGCTAGCTAGCTTTGTGAGGGTTAGAGATGTTNTTTATTTTCCTTTTTTTTTTTTTCGGTTTTTTTTCTAATAAAAGTTTTTTTTTTGGCTTTAAAAAAAGGGCCCCCTTTAAACCGGCACCCCTTTTATTGGCCCTAAAAAGTTACCCCACCCTCTTTTAATTATTTTTCCTTTTCCAAAACATAATTACAATCCAGTTTTTCTTTTTCCAACCCTTATACCTTTTTTTTCCCCCCCCCCCCCCCCCCCCCACTCCCAAAAGTGGGTTGATACCCCATCAAGTGCATTCATTCGTATTCCAAAACGCGACAGGGCATATTCTCACCTTGCCTGCGTGCAGACGTCTCCTATTTCCTTTGTTGCACGCGTGCAACAAAGGAAATAGGAGACGTCTGCACGCAGGCAAATTCTCACCAGGGACATCTCTTACTTTTCAGTCTGTAAAATTTCTGGCAACTACCCGAGACTTACAGGTTTTTTTCTTGCGGTGGCTTATGTTGATCACTCGACAAATTATTGTAACGCGTTTATCGACCGACAAGATGGCATGCGAAATCGTGGCAATCTCTAAAAGACCACTGTCCACCACATTCTCTCTGCGTCTCTTTCCCCCAACAAAAATACAAATAACTGAACTCTTCTCGTGATATATGTTTCTTGCTTTATGGTATTTGAAATCAATAAGTTGGAAATGTTGTGCAGTACTGACATGCCGTGATGTTTCTCTCGAACGTCAGAAGCGAAAAATCAAAATGACGCAGCTCCTTTCAAACGGTCCCCAAAAATGTGTACATAATGACAATAGAAAGGGTTTCTCTTACCAGTCGCTTGGTCGCTTGGTTGTGAGCTCGCAATCCCAACGAGCAACACAGCAGTAAATACGAGCAACATCGTTCTTTGGCAAATATGATCTATAGAGAGTGATGAAAACTGAAAGACACTGACACTGAAGATCACATCAGTGAAAGACGATACTTCCGCACATATAATAGAGCTCCTTCGGAAATCTGATATCAAGATTAAAGGTAGTGTTACAAGGGACACTTCGCAACGACGATTTTTAGAGCAAAACTGACATCGTTGCAACATTGTTGCAACATCCGTTTCGAGTAGCTGCAGCATTGTTCCAACATTGGAACCCTGTATTGCGCCACATCGTCGTTGCGAATCGTTTCGTGTCACCTTAAAGCCAGAAATAACAAGAAATGTAGGAGAGGGGGTGGAAGCCCTGGAGAATAGGGGAAGGAATGGGAACGAGCGACGGGAAAGGGAAGGACAGGAGGTGGGAGTTCTAAAAGTGTGGGAGGCGGGAGAAACATGGAGAAATAAGGCAACACAACTTAAAATTTCGCAATCGAACAAGGGCAGAAAAAGGAATAAAGAGCAATGGGTACGGGTCGAGGGGCGCGATTAGGCAATGCAAGGTTCCGGAAGCGGGAGGTTTTAGACCTCCTGCCAGCCGTCCCAGCCACGTCTCAAATCAGAGTTAAATGTGAATTTCATTCTCTAATGTAGCCGCCCCACACAGAAATTTTAAGAGGGTTTGAATGGGAGGTCCACTTGTCGGTCGTTAGTTAAAATTCAGTTACTATGTCGGTAGTCGGTTAAAATTTCGATCTTTGTCGGTTGTCGGTAAATCTCAGATAAAGTAAAAATGCGAGTTAATTATTAAGAGTTGTTATGTATTTCACCGAGTTTCAAGACTTTGATCCTTATAAAACATAAGAATGGATCATTTCATTGCACTTTTAAAGCTTCATTTTATTTAACTCTGTATTGTTTATGCAACATGATCGTTCTATAAAGTCGGTAGTATTTTTAAGGTATGACTTCCGTGATTTTGATGTTGGTTGTAGCAATGTCAAGTATCAACAAAGGAGGAAATTCTTTCGCTGTTATTTTAAGGGTCTTGAAATAACAGCGTCGATCATCTGATAAGTCATAAATTAATGTGGTTAATTTCTAAGGTCTAAAAAATACGAAGTGCTCTTCTTTATGGAAACAAATATCGATAATAACGGCCGTTCATGTCGGTAGTCGGTTAATATTTTTCCTGTCGGTAGTCAGTATGATATTTTTGCCCTTTGTCGCTAGTCGGTTAACCCAATTCACACATACCCTCTTTTAGAGGGTGTTTGTAAAACGAGGACCGGATACCTGCGGATGGTGGATTCAGATGCAGATAGAAAAATGCAGATAGAAAAAGTTGCGGACCATAGAAAGAATTAAAAAAGAATCACAAATTTGGATGTATAAATTGTGTCACTAAACTGCATTTTTCTTTTCTGTTATGGTTCTGCTATATTTAAATCCTGATTATAAAATAGTTTAATATCTATCTTCGGAGAGCAAAACATGTGTATGAAGTTGTTGGGACAACAACAAAGGCGAAATGTCCTTAAATAAAAAAAATTAAAAAGAAAAAACGAGAGAAAACAATATGAACCAAAAAATAGGCTGAACTTTGCGAAAAAATCGACGTGCGTTACTTCGCCTATTTTGAGCTTGCCTTGTAAATCGCCATGTTTCCTGAAAGGAGCCTGATCTTGAAAAAGGCTCACAATACAAATTAATGCTCATTCATGTAACGGAACGCTTCCGCTATGCCTGGACTCTGGTCGACTCTGTCATGGGAGACAGTTTAGAGGGTGACTCTGAACTGGAGACACCTGCAACTACTGTTACACTAATGGTCTTCTGTTACACAAAGTTTCCTCTGGGTTTTGTGTGAATCGGTCTTGTTTAAAGAGGGTTTTTCTACAGAGATTCTTTTTTAAGCAATACGCCACCCGGCCCTCAACAGAAGCATTTTTCTGGCCTTCGTTCCATCAACAAATAAAAAGTGGTGCTCTGGTGTAGACATTAGTTCGGAGTAGACAAACCGACCAAAAATCCACATTACAACATTCAATGTTTTGACGTTTTCCTAATATTTCCAAATTAATGCCCACTATTCATGCCTCTATGGCTAGTACATTTCAATGTGAACATTGTCATTGTCATGTGATGTTTTACATTCAGAATATCAATATGAATTAAAAGTCATATTAAAATGTAGTAGCCATGGAGGTATGTATGGTGAGCATTAATTTGGAAAAATTAGCATAACGTCAAAACAGTGAATGTTGTAATGCAGATTTTTGGTCGGTTCGACTAGGCTAGGTTGGCCGTGAAATTTCAAGGTGTTTCAGTAAGTCACAGTCTCAGTAAGTCACAGTCTCTGAAATGAAATTTTAAGACATTAATTTGTACATCAAGGAGATTGTGTGATAAGGTTTAAAAAGAATTCTGTCGAGCCGTTTAGAGATATGCAGAAAAGCGACAAAAGTCAAAATTTAGAATAAAGTTGCATTTAGACTGGTGAGAAAACAGGTTAGTTTTCAGGATCGCAAAAAAGAAAATACACCAAAATTTCTATGCATCGAAATATGATATTAAGCAGCCTTCTGACACAACTTAAGATTAATTTGAGCTATTTAGAACT